TACAGTGTTTTTCTTTCACAACAAAATAGCATTAGCCTGCTTATAAGCCACAGAAACGATCAAACGAAGTAGCGAACAGGTGTATTCATACTCTATATGGATTCATTCGTTGTGGCGTCGTATACTGGCGACTTGAATGAGTCCTTGATAATTATTGCGATAGATCCGGGCTGATGATATATACCCTAAAGACAAGTATCATGTGGGTACATGGACAAGGGGGTAGGTAATGATACTATATACCAACTCAAGATCGAAAAGCTCTTTTTGTTGCCTTGTGAGACGTTGACTAATAAATGTACTACTACTGGCACCGGATTTGGGATTTTCAGTTGTTGCATGCGTTCTAACCTCGCTGTCCTGCAGACAAATTTCAGTTGTTAGTATAAAAAAAATAATCACAGCAGATCGTTCAGATCAAATAAAGATTTATTTCCCATTGATACATCAAAACGTACAATTAAGATGATATCTGATCCGAGTAATATAATGGGTGTTGACACAAATATGTGCAAAACATGCACCGCATACTCTCAATGGTGAGCATGATGCGCAAGACACTCTAATTAAAAGGATTTTGGGGAAATCGAAGAACATCTCGCTCCCGAGAGATCACGTTAAACACACCTGTCGTGGCTTGTCTTAGGATAGCTCACCTACAACGTTCATTATTAGATTGTTGTCAAAAAAAAAGTTCACTATTAGATGAACGTCAACTTGAGATAAAAAAAGCATATAGTGCAAAGTTGAAGGGAAAAAGGTAAAATAATTGTTGCTTAAATAAAAACTGCATTTTAGGATTATCTGAAAATCTTGGCCACATAACGCTCTCACAAAGAAATTTGGTACGGTAACAAAAATAATTCAAAAGACAGATTAACAGAATGTTTGGTCCATCATTATCTCACTTCTCAGTTTCTTTCTTCGACTTACAGAATGTAATGAGTCGATTCATTTACCACCTTATTCCCCACGAGAGAATAATTAGTAGGAAAATTTTGCTCGGGGCATCGTTCATACAAGGTATTTGCTAATCCACACTACCAAACCATTTTTGCACTACCATTATGAACTGTATTTCTTTGCTGCTGGAAATCATAGCCATTAAAGTAATTGTTTATCAAACATCAGGGAGAGAAGGGGGTATGAAAGGGTCCTCCACTCTATGTCTTCTTCTTCCTTCAATCTTCTCGGGCTCGAGCTCTACCTCCCCACCTTTTGCTCAAGATCTAGCTACCAAATAGGTCATCGTACGATAGGAATTTGGCAAAATCCAAGTATCTGGAGATCTCCCCATCATCACCCCTACTCGCAGCAGGCAAAGAAATCGCCAACGTCGAGCAACTAGCATAGTCCAGCAATGCATCCCTGAATGACACTGCAAAGCATGCTGACCGCCCCTCTGTGTCGCCCGGGCCACTCCTCCCCTACCACCACCACCTTCCGCTCCCCGCAGCCGTCGTTGCCTTCCAGTGGTGCCACCTCTCCCTCCATGCTGCGTCCATGGCCACTGCGGTGGCTCCTCCTCCCCCACAACCACCAAGCCCACCGCTCCCGCCGCCGTCGTTGCCTTTCGATGGTGCCTCCTCTCCCTCCGTGTCACGTCCATGGTCATCCACCGCCACTCCTCCTCCCCCACCACCAACACCTGCCGCTTCTGCCGCTGTCGTTGCCTTCCAATGTTGCCTCCTCTCCTTATGCTCCACATCCAATGGCCGCCCGCCCATCATAGCCGCCAAGTGTGCACTAGAGTTTCTTTGCCGCCCATCCCCTACACCCTTGTCCACCCTCTATTTGCACGACGTCCATGGCCACCTATTCTGCATCCACCAAATTAATCCGGCCGACCAAAAAGACAGAATAGAGATTATGGAGAGAGAGGAAGAACAAGATGGATGGAATGGAGATCAAACAGACCTTTCATACCCCCTTCTCTCCCCTAATGTTAGATAAATAATTATTTTAATGGCTATGGTGTCTAGTGGCAGAGAAACACGATTTTGTAATGGTACTAGACAAATTCACGGTTCTACAGTACGGATAAGCAAATTTGAAAGATAGACCCATGATGCATCATTCATTATTTAGAATGGGTTAATTGTGTCCACATACACTTAAGTTTCTACTATCTTAGAAGCAAGCTAAGCTAATGATGTGTAACTTGATAACTGATTAGGTTCTTTTCCGGCATCATCTATTCCCCATCAAATTGAGTTCATGAATCAGTATTCTCCCCGCAGCAGATTTTAGTTTTCTAACTTGTTGATTAGGTTCTTTACTGCGTCATCTATTCGAGTTCTCAGGTTTTCTAACTCAGAAAATTAACCAGTAGATGTGAAGATATTTGAATCGCTCAAAGAGACAAAAGATTGGGAAAGTATAAAAGAATCCTGAATTATTTTTAGACGATTGAAATTAAATGCCTTTTTTATATTAGCAAATATGCCCGTGCGTCGTAACGAGAGTCCTTTTTTCTTGAAGTCCAAGAATGGCCGCGTGGCTTAGGGTTTGTTTGGTTTATAAACTTGCCATGTCATAAGCTAGTCATGCCATAGTTTTTTATGTAATTGTGTGGTTCACTGTCATAACTACGATGTGCCATACTTTTTTAGCACTGTTTCCACATATCAGTCTCATTTTCTTGCCAAACTTTGCCGCACCTGTGGATTTTATTTTGCTCGCCGTACTTTGATCATATTTGGATTGGCTTATGCATGCCCACCATGCAGTGCGTCTGTGATGTGAGTCGCGATAAAAAAACAGGACTCATAGTTGAAATCCCATGGCCCGTGGCCTGTTGCAAGGAGAAAATCACCGCTTGTTTGCATAATTGTCGCGTTCTGCAACTAAGAATTCACTTTTAGGGGTTTAAAACAGGATGTATACGTGGCAACCAAACTACGGCACCAACCAAGTCTAAAAGTATATTCGTGTCAAGATCCTTGATTGAACTATAATGCAATTTATTAGGGATAGATTATATAAGTGGATTTTATTTATGTATTCTGCCTAGCAGAGGTTTTCCACTCGCCACCGGGAACCCAGCGGCCGTACGTGGAGCTCGGTCAGCGGCGGCCGCTGGGAAGGCTCTCGTGGCAGGTGAAGTATCTCATCCGTGCAATCACGTGCATCCTCTCCGGCCCATCATGCACATACACACTGATGATGCACTCACTCTAGCTACCTGCATGGCGTATCGTATTCCGTGGCTTCTGTCGCTGTCCCGGCAGTTGATCACCGCGCGCGCCGGCTAACTAGCTCGATCGCTAGCTCTATCCGCATCGATCCGGTGCCGCTCGATCGCGCCGTCCCTGTTGGGCGTTGGCCGCGTGGCAGGTAGACGTCTGGCCACCTTCCTCGCCTTCTCGGTGCATGCCCCAGCCTTTGCCGCCTCGCGTGCGCCGGGTGTGCCGTGACAACGCATGGACTCGTGGAGACAACACGTAGGCGCATGCACACGATCGGATGGATCGATTGGTTGTGCCTGCAGCGCAAGAGCGACTGACGACTCACGACTGTGCGACGAGCTAAGACGTACAAATGTTGGCTGGTCATCGATCGAGCTAGCAGTGTCTGCACTGCACGAGAGACTCAAGTCTCGGTCTGTTTCACATGTACTACTAACGTCTACGTTTCGTACGTGTAGGTTTATTTGGATGGACCCCGAAGGCCCCAAAGGCCAGGGTCCTCATGAAGCTCCACGTACGTGCGCCGGCGGCCTGCCGGCCCGATGTGTTGTCGAGGACTCTCTCATCACCTCCTGTCCTCCTTTATTTAAAGTTTAAAGTACTTTCTGGTATATAGTAGATGCAATGTATCTTATTAGCCGCTCTAAAGGTGTTTAGTCAATTGCGCCATGTCCACTATCGTTTATTAGGTGGTAGAGATAACTCTCCATTACTGTACTAGCTAGTACACTATCTCATATATATTGAAGAATAAAAAGCTATATATCTGTTTGCAAATTTGGAAGTATTCCTTTGTTCTCTCTGATACAAATAACATGCATGGCTACAGCTACAGGCTAGTACGAGATAAATAAATTTTACTACTCTTGCATATATGCTATTCCGAGAAATAATACAACCAGAAATCCAGAATAATAAATAAGCGCTTAGTGTAGACGCGTAGCTGCTAGTGAACAGTCGAACACCCTTTGATCTTTGTGCCGTATCAGGGGGCGGCGCTCGGGCCGGCGGTTTGGCCTGCTGCTCGATCGGTGCATGCCGCGCTCCGGAACAAATCAATTCGCAAGATATCCATAAAATAAAACGAACTAGCTAGTCCGATCGATATGCATCCATTGTGCCTGCCTTCCCTGAGAAAAGGATACGCTGCCATTAATATTTTCTCGAAGCCAAAAGATAAGACACCTCCACGTGCCAAGCGTGTCCGTCGCAGGAACAAAAGCATCTATGCTATGCCTGCCGTGGTCCTCTTTTACCCTCGTCCACTCCAAGCAGGAACAAAAGGATCGCAGAATCCGGGACCCGGCGCGACTCCGTGAGCCGTCGGATCACGTGTCCGGCCGGGGACGCCGCGCGCTGCCTTGACAACCAAGTCACTCTCCGTCACACGCTCTGACACAGAGAGAGGCCCTGCAACGCAGCCGTGAGTAACTGGGGCCCGCGCCTGCCAGGTTTCCGCCGCCGACTCGAACACGCGCGGCTGCGCCCAGTCCGGTCTCCGCGACTCCGCCTCCGCCCCGCGCGCGCCGCACCACTCACTCCCCCCACCCCACCAGCACCAGGCCACCACACACACCACACCACCTACGCTACGCTAGCTGCCCCCTTCCGTTCCTTCCCCCGCAGGCCGCGCGCAGCTATATATTCGGCCACCGAACCGAGCCCACCCACGCCTCCATCACGCCACGCTCTCAGTCACACACACCCACCACTCTCCTACTTGTCCACCTCTCCGTCTCTCCGTCTCCGCTCCTGCTTCCTGGTCAACTCTGCCATCCACGGGAGATCGATCGACCGATCGGCCTCGACGCCATGGCGCTCGACGCAGCCCTCGACGTGTCCAGCAGCAAGCCACCGGTGCCGCCGCCGTCGCCGACGAGGATCGACTCATGGGCGCGCGGCGGGAGGCGGTCCAAGCGCCGCGCTGGGAGCCCCGCCAGCGACGGCGGCAGCGGAGCTGGAGGAGGAGACGACCACGACCAGTCCGAGCAGGAGTACCTCGCGCTCTGCCTCCTGATGCTCTCGCGCGGCCTCCGCGGCGACGCCGCCGCCGACGCCAGGAGAGCGGGCGCGGCGCCTACGGCGGCGAATAAGGCCGACCAGCACCAACAGCATGGGTACGAGTGCTCCGTGTGCGGCAAGGTGTACGCGTCGTACCAGGCGCTGGGCGGGCACAAGACGAGCCACCGGAAGCCGCCCACGCCGCCTCCCCCTCCGGCGGCCGCGGCGGCGCCAGGCGACGAGGCGTCGTCCGGTTCCGGCGGCAGCGCGCACGCAGAGGAGAAGGAGAAGGAGAAGGAGAAGGTGCACCAGTGCTCGCTCTGCCTCCGCACGTTCCCGTCGGGGCAGGCGCTGGGCGGGCACAAGCGGCTGCACTACGAGGGCGGCGTCGGCGACGGTGCCAAGGACAAGGACAAGGACGCCACCACCAAGACCAACAAGGCCAGCGCAGCCGCGCCGGCGACGACGGCCTTGCTGCTGGACTTCGACCTCAACCTGCCGGCCGAGGGCGCGCCGCCGGAGTCCAAGCGCGCACGGACGATGCTGCTGCTGGTCTGATCCATCGATCGGTCGTTCCAACGGCGGCGGCGGCGGCGGCGAGTTGGCGGTCTAGGTTTTGATGGTGGTAGGAGTTATTTGGTTGGTTGATTGCTTTGTTAATTTCGTCTGCGTTGCGTCACGTCGGCTGCGCTTGCTCCATCGATGTGATAAGCACGTGCACGGCTGCGTCGGTTCGTTCGTTCGGTTGTATACTGCACCTTTTCTTTCAGTTCAGACTTTCAGAGGGAGCTGATTTTCGTGGCTCCGGTCCTATTCATCCGTCCATATTTTGCGACGCAGAGACGCCGGATTTGAGAACCGGACGGCTGCGATCTATATAGCACTTAATTACCTGTAAATCCTGGTGGTCAAACTCCACATATGCATGCAAGGAAACTTCTGTTTGCCTTTTTCAATTTCAGTGTGAAAGTGAATGAAGAAACGCTGATTGTGGTAGCGTAGTCGTCGACACTGATACAGTCATACAGCATCAGAGCTACGATTTACATATAAGTATATATAAATATTGTACAGAGAGATCCTTGGTGTGCCAATAAATGGATCTAAGTCGATTGTGTGTGATCTTAGTCTTAGCCACTATTCCATTAGCGGCCAGTGCCGTCCACCACACCACGAAGCGGCAAGGTGCAAGCTACTTCGTACTACACGTGTGCGCTAACGAAATCGTGCAGGCTGCTCCTGTGGATAGCGACATGGACGACGCAGCTTTGACCCTGCTGGCTTTGGAGAGAGGGCTAGGTGCTCCACTCGCCGTCAGACGTGCAGAGCCACGCTTGCTCGGTCAGTCGGTCTCTCCTCTACGGAGTACTCCGTGCTCCGTACACCTTACACCTAGCCGACAACAAACAACAGTGCGCCCGGTTCGCTTGAATTTATCGTACGGTATTTTTCCTCACAATAAAACTGGCTTATCAGCCCAATAACCATCAGCCGAATGCATGCGCTTATACGCTCTAACAATGTTTGGACAATACGTTGGGTGGACGGCGGCAGTGTTTAGCGAGACACATGTATGGTGGCTTTTTGTGAAAGCTACTGGTAGTAGTGGTAGTTCTCAACTGCCCATGTATAAGGCCTGGTTTAGTTTCCAAAAATTTTCACCCTAAACTATCACATCGAATCTTGTGGCACATACATGGAGTATTAAATATAGACGAAAAAAAATTAATTGCACAGTTTGGTTAGAAATCACGAGACGGAATGTTTTAAGATTAATTAGTCTATGATTAGCTATAAGTGCTACGGTAACTAACATGCGCTAATGATGAATTAATTAGGCTTAATAAATTCGTCTTGCAGTTTTTAGGCGAGCTATGTAATTAGTTTTTTTTATTAGTATCCGAAAACCCCTTCCGACATCCCCGAAACATCCAATGTGACATCCAAAAATTTTTATTTCGCGAACTAAACATAGCCAAAGACTAACTTCAGTCGTTTCCGATTTGATTGAGTCGTGATAGATCGATGATTCCAACTGGCCAGCTCCTTGTTGCACGCACCTGGAAGCTTCTAGCAAGCGCCTGTCCATGGCGGCACGGAGTTAGTTCCGCCTGAATTCCATGCACACATGCTCTGACCAAGCGTCAGTGGGCAGTGAGTGGCTAGCCGATCTTTGCAAACACCCGTGTAAATGAACTGTGCTGCGGTTTTGGGCTATGCATGTAGTACATCTTCAGTGCACTGAACACGGTGTTTGGGGATAATTCTGGGTAAAGCAGTGGTTAGAAAGTAAATCGTCATTTGAAGCTGCAGTGGTTAGCATCGCGAAACGAGAGGGTAAAGCAGTGGCGCCCTCTGCTTTGTCTGAGATGGTACGTGACGGGGAGGCGTCGTTGTCGCGATGGACCGACGACGGAGCCATGCTGGGCCACGGTGGGCCACGGAATACTTGCACCTGGGCTCTAGGCAGCAGTCCCCAAGACGCGTGGAGCGTCGTCTTCAGGAACCGCTACCGGGTGCAATGCAACTGTGCAGAGTGTCCGCGGATGGGGTGAACCGGAACCACGAGCGCCGCGCCGCTACCCGACTGGGCTTTGGCTGGCCGCTGTTTGTTTTGACGGGTGAGTGATGCTGACGAGTCTGTCACGTCTCACCCGGCCGGTGACGGCCAGTGACTTCTCCTGCGAGCTTCTTTTTTCGTTTCTGTGAAGTCCATTGCTGCTATTTCAATCGCTGGACGAGTTGAAATGGTCTACAGCGCATCACTGGGATCTAAAGGAATTTTCGTTGAGTGTGTAGTCACAACCTTTCAGAAATATCAAATATGTATATGGCTACGAAGATAAATGTCGGCTTTGTTAAAGGCAATGCCGCATGCTACCTGGAAGTTTCGTTTCCTTTCGTTCCATCCGTATGTGTCGAAATCATTCATCTCTATCAAGCCAAACAAAATATCAGTCGCCGTACATGTCGCGTGCTTTGCATTACTAATACCCGGTCTAACCCATGAGACATCCACACAATGTGCGTGGAGGAAACTCTGGTTTTAGTAAAGGAAGACATGCAAAAATTTAGGACTCTCTCTTGATATTTATCTTCAACTTATACAAAAGTAAAGCAAGTAACTTCTACATACGAGTAGTCAATCTTGTCGCTAGCTGGGGAGTTTTTTTTTGTTAACAAGAAAAACGTTCTTGCGTGATACGCGCGTACACACGTGGTGTGATACTCTAACCCCTCGTGTCACTTACTCTTACAAGACAAAGAAAATGACGGGAGAGGAAGCGAGAAAGTGACCATAGTGTGGCCTCTGTGAATTCGATTTTTGCCAATGTTTGTAACAATCGCCTTCACAAGTTAACACAAGAATTCAACACCCACAATGCCATGTGAGCAACAAATACATTGATAATGATTAGTAAACAGAAATGCTATATGACACACATGTGTTTTGTTGTTTGCTGGCACACGAATTTTGTGTCCGGTGGATGAAGAATCGATGTGTGGTCTGTTCCGATGCGGTGTTGGTTGGTTTGTGATACTGACGTGCAGGGCCCACTCTGGTTGTCTGATTGCCGGACACTGTTCGTATTCCTCGATCCACGCGCACAGACATAGGAAAGGGACCGTGCTCTCTGGAGCTCGTTGTTGTGGCTATTGTTCTGCCCCTCTCCGTGCTCCTCCCCGTCGAGGCCCGTCGGTGTTCCCTCCTTGGCGATTCGGAGGCTCGCTCGTCTCCACCATACCTTGAGGTCAGGAGGTATTTTCTTACGCCGCGTCTCTCCCTGCATTGAGCTCTGTTTTGTTGGATGGACTCAGTTTTTGGTTCGATAGATATACGATTTGATGGCATCTGTGATGTATATGTGGTTCGATTCGAGTTCATGTAGGATGAGTCTGCTTGCTTTTGCGTCACCTGGACGGGCGTTGTTTCGTCGGTGGATTTGCCTTGTGTCGCCGCTTCCGCTGCGGATGACGAGCGACCAGGCGGAAGCAAGGTGGGGTGGGGATGATGTTAGGCGAGGTGGAGGATGGGTGATTTGAGCTTATTTAGCCCCTTGATTTGCGCTTGTTTGATTTTGTTGTGGGTTTCGGAAGTGCTGCTGCTCGGGGGGAGCAGGACAGGTGAGGTGGAGGAGGGGTGATTTGCGTTGTGTTCTGGTTTGATTTGTGGCTGGGATTGTGGTAGGGGTCTGTAGAGCTAGTTGTCTCTGAATGTCAGTGCTAGCTAGTTGATTTACCCATTTGATCGCCATTGGTTTTGTTCTCTGCTTTGCTTCTTTTGTGTTTCGTTTCCTGTCCATTGATTCTGCTGCATGAGTGCTCTCTGATTTGGCATTTAGATCACCAGTGTCCAGTGGATGAGCATGGATAACAATTTACCGATGGATGAGCATGAAAAAACTGAAACAATCTATCCTTTGTCACTAATACCAACCAAATGATTCTGCTGCATTGCATATGTTGTCTCTGAATGTCAGTGCTAGCGATGCGTTGTGTCAGTGCGAAAAGTCACCAACACGTAAATATTTGTAGTTTTGTCGTACGTTGTGATCGGATGTGGCCTAGCACTCAATGACATAAGGTTTATACTGGTTCAGGCAACGTGCCCTACGTCTAGTTTGAGTCGGTTGGTGACTTTATTCCTGAGCCTAGGTGCTTGAAGTTTGCGGTGGGGTTACAAATGAGAGGGAGTAAGATGGGGGGTATCAAAGGTCCGGTTGGACTCCGGACCGAAAGGCCAAGAGTGACGGGAGCTCCGACGTGCGCTAAGTGTTTGAACGTATGCTTTGTTTGGCTTTAGAGTTCTAGAGCCAAGCAGAGAGAATCGGAGTGATCCGTCTGTTGTTCGTTGGAATCGTCCTCCTTTTGGAGAGAGCGCATCCCCTTTTATAGATGAAGAGAATAGCTTTACAAGAGAGAGTGTGAGAGAAAGAGAATGTGTGTGCTACCTAGTCTTGTTGCCCATGCCGTCGGGTACAAGGTGGTTTGTCGGCGCCCACAATACTGTTGACGCCCAGATGCATGTGGTAGGCTCCATCGTATTCTTCTGGTATGGCCAATGTCGGCGCCTACCATACTATAGGACAAATGTCAGCACCCATAACACTATTCGTGCTCTGACACGTCTAGAAGGTTGTAGAGCACCCTTCTGACATGACCTAACAATACTGTCATGCAGGTGTGATGGGTACGGTCCTCGGTATTACGGTTGACTTGAGAGCCCTGCCTTACTTGCTCCACCTGATTCTTTGGGTCCTTACCGAGCGGGCGTCCCCGTTAGGTTGTCTCCCAGTCGGCTCCGATCGCGCTGGTTGGAGAAGAGTTGTAAGCAGAGATTCGGTGTACTCCCGGTCGGAGAAGCGAGTTAGAGTCGAAAGCGAGTGTCGCCCTATCCTCGGCCAGGCCTTCCGGTCGGAGAGGCGGATCGGAGTCGGAAGCGAGCGTTGTCCCTCCTTGGCCAGGCCTTCCGGTCGAGAGGGGGTCAGAGTCGGAAGCGAGCGTCATCCTCCTTGGCTAGGCCTTTCGGTCGGAGAATGGATCGCTCTTCTAGCCTA